CCCCCCGAAAAAAAAGTTCTCTGATCAAAGTTTTCTTTGCGGATTCGGGGAGATCTCGGCGAGCGCAGTCCAGCGATGATTTCAAAAAAAAATAAAAAATAAAAAAAAATTGACCCATTTATGGGCCGAACCGGAATTCCGGTTGGACCACCTGGGGTCCAACCGGTCCGGTCCCCGGTTGCCGGCTTAGCCCTGAGGGTAAGTGAATATAACGCTCGGGCGTTATTTTCGGGTGCCGACAGTAGTGCCAAATACCAAGTTTACCCTTCACCACTACCCCCCAAGTATCTTCCATGGAAGTCGAGAGAAGAACTTAGCCTTTTCAAAAAGAAAAGGAAAGTCAAGAGAAGAGAAAAACGATAGCAAAAACAGAAGACGAAAAAAAAAAAATGTTAGCGCGACGCATGAAGGCTGTACGTGACTGACCATTGGCTGAATGATTCATTCAACACAAGTCTTGCACGTTTTCTCTTGGTGTGCAAGGTAAGATTCTTAAGCCAGCAGTACCTACCTGGTTCTTAGACCCCCCCCTCTGACGCGAATGAATACAGACCCTCAAGGTAGGCCGATTCATCCACCGCATTAACGCCTAAAAACGCGGTAGGTAACACTGGTGGTTTAAGAACTCAACAAATACAGTTGGAGAGAGAGAAATGTTGTGCGTTTCTGCCATGTTGCTGTCATTCTGATAGCGGGAGGTAGGGTTTCTCTTCACGTCATTACGACCTTTTCTCCCTTGGCGAACAGGATTTGAACCCTTGATCTGGTTGCCAAGTGGTACGCATAACCGTTGCGGGGAATCCGGTACAACTACCCTAGGTGAAAACGCAAGGCCCAAGGGCCTACTGCTGCGACATGCATGCTCGGCAAGCATGAACCTTGCCAGAAAAAACTGACCGTGTGCATGCTAACTACAGTAGCCTTAAGATTGCACAAGCATAGCACCAGTGCGTTCGCGTGTTCAACTTACGTCCTCCTTGCCCTCTTTCTTCCCCACCTCCTACACCACCATCTCCTACATGGAACAAGTCTTAGACTATATGATTCTCTCTTCTAAACTGTTGGTAATCCTGCTCCTACCATCTTCCCACACGGCTCCGCAACGAACCCTCTGCAACGAAGGAGGAGTCTGTTCCTGACTGACTGTCTCTCTGAGCCTGCCAGTCTGCCTGTCTGTCCACCCCTCCCTGTGCCTGGTTGTATGTCTGTCTGTCTATCGGTGTGCCTGCCGTCTGCCTGCCAGCTGATCCCCCGCCTGGCCACCCGCATACCAGGCTGTTTGCAGGCTGGAAAGGAGTCAACAGAGAGACAAGCTGGGAGGCAAAGGGACACACCGAGAGAGAGAGAGAGAGAGAGAGAGAGAGAGAGAGAGAGAGAGAGAGAGAGAGACACACACAGTGGGGGACTTCTCTGGTGTTTTAAGCAGTAGTGTTCGTGGTGTTGCGTGGAGATTCTGTGGAGTTATTTTGTGGCTTTGTGGGGCGACTCAGAGGACTCTTCTAGTTCTTTCGGACCATTGGAGGTCCTGGTCAGTGCTTTCTTGTTGGTAGTGCCTTCTAAGTTGCGGTGCACTTATTTTTTGTGGTCCTTGCAATGCAATGTAATTGTTAAAAATGTTGCCTTTTGTCCTTCGTCAATGGATCCCCGAATGTTTGGGTCTGTGCCTGGTATGTGATTTTGCAGAGCAGGCTGGAGTTGTACGGTGAGTGGGCACTTGCCGCTTCCCTCTACCGTTTTTCCTTAGATTGAAAAAATTATAAGGTTTACCGGGCAGCTCTGTTTGACGATATATACCACGGCTTTGCTAGCACCCTGCTACGGTTTTCTCCGATCCGGTCGAGCGGCAGTTGTCGGGGCCGCCACTACGCGGCCATGCTGTGCCTCTAGTGCCAGCGGCATGTCTGGAGTGTATTTTGCAATTGGACTCGACTCTGGACTTGCTTGACTTCGCCTGACGCGCTAGGGAGCCTACACTCGTGCTCTCTAAGGTGCAGTGTGGCTCCCGCTGCCTCTCCCCAATCCATACCTAGAACAATGTCAAACAGGAGACTCTCTTCTACGAGGAGGGTCAAGGAGTGCAGTACCTTCTCTACCTTCCCATCTTTCTCTAGGCGAAAGTAGGCGTGGACCCCCTCAACATACTCTTCAACACGCATCCTGCTATTGTCTGCAAGGATGCTGACTACAGGTTCCTCTAAACGTTGGACTTTTAGATTTAGCTTTAACTTCTTCAACGCTTTACGATTGATATAACTCCTAGTCGCCCCGCTGTCTATTAGGGCTCCTACTCTAGCTCTAAATATTTCTACATCTGTGAGGATTAACTGTCCTTTACTATCCTTCTTCATCTTGGCCCAGGCTTGCCTCCTCTCTCTCAACTCCTCGGCTAAGCCTGTGAGGGAAGCGTCTAGAGAGACCCTAACACAAGCAGTCTCTGGACAGCTTACTAAACACTGGCCTGCAACCTCTGCCGTGGAGATATGTGGAGTGGGAGACTCTACTTCGCGCGCACGCTCAGATCCACATACTCCTGGGGTAGGGGCAGTTGCAACCCCTACCGGCGGCTGTCTTTTGCTGCCCAAGACGCAACACGGTCCCTATACTTAGGACAAAATTTGATAATGTGGCCTGGGTCCCCGCAGAATACGCATTGAGAACTGTTAATGCGTGCTTGTCATACTCCCTGATCTATACACAGATCTAGCCAGGGTCGGCCCTCGGGCCGGCCTGGGTGCCACCTTCCCTGTCTGGGGGGTGACCGACAAAAACGTGGACGGTTAGGCGGGGAACCTCCCCTTCCTCCGTCTTGGCGGTTGTCGTTGCAGCCACCCCCCTGGCCGCCCTGTCCTCGGCCACCTGGGGCCCGACCATTCTGGTCGGACCGTTGTCCTCCTCCTTGCAGCCTCCCTCCGGCCGCAACAGCAGCGTAGGTTCTCCCCTGGCCTGCGTCGCTGTTCTCCGCTTCCTCTAGTCCCCACTCGATGTTAGAGTAGGGAACCTCGTCGGCACGACCTTCCTCCATTGTTAATATCAGACTATCTTTGGCCTTAATTTGGCCCGAGATGGTGCGTCCCTTCCACGTTTTTCCCTTTGACAGATCTTTGTGCCAGAGCGTGGTAATTGGCAATGCTTGGGCGGCAAATGCAACTGCCTCCCCACTAAGAGTGTCATAAGTCATGCCCTGCTGGTTCTTCTTCTCGAAGAAATGTCCCTGAATGTTCTCAGGGAGGGCGCGATAGAAGAGGTTAAGAAGCTGGGCATCGGTTACTCCATGCCCAGGGACCGCAATCAGTTCGTCCATGGCGGACTTGAGGGCGTGCACACTCTTCCACAAGCGAGTGTGTATCATTTGGAGTTTGTCGGAGGCTTTGAGCCCCCCCTTCACATCTGAGAATCGTTCCCTGAGCGATTTCAGGAACTCGGAGAGAGGTGTCAATCTGGAATACGTCACCATATCGTTATCATAGTTCGCAGCTCAGGCTAGCGACCTAGCAAAGCTAGTCGCCTCGTCTCGAAGGGCCTGGAAGGCCACGAAAACGTGGTCCTCAAGCGTGACTCCCTGTAAGTACAGGTAGGAGTGCACGTTGGCCTCCCAGTTATCGAAATCCTCACCCTTCTTTCCACTGAAGGGTTCGGGAAAACGGACCTTGACCTTCTCACGGCGTGGTGGGGCCGACTCCTCTTCCTTAGGAGTCGCCAACTTGGTGCCTTCAATGGCACCAGTGCATAACTCTCGGGTCTTACTCATTGCATTATGAACTTCAGCCAGTAAGTACTTCATCATGTCACTCGCAAAATCCTTGAACCCAGCGCGCATTGCATCTATCTTTACTTCTAAGGTGTGGATGTACTGCCTTTGCTCGCGGTGCACAATTAGTAACGACTCTACACTTTGGGTCAGGGTAGCGAGTTTGGTGGCTATCTCAGTTTCGGCCCCAATCTTCCCCATCCTAGCTTCCGCCGCGTTCAGGTCCTTCTCTGCCCTTTCCGCCGCTTCCAATCGTCTTACCCTTTCTTGGGACAGCCGGTATCTCCATGCCATTTGTTGTTCTTCCTCCTTCACCTTCCTCCTCACGGGGTCCCTTTCTGTCTCTATTTGTCTCCTTGCTGCTTCTCTTTCTTCCTGGAGTATGGCCATCTCGGCCTCCCTGTCTTCCCCCAACTCCAAATGTGCGGCCCACTCCTGTGCAATCTTTGCAATCTCGATTTCTTTGTTTGTGCTGGCTTCCCCTCTCCTTCTCTCCAATGGCTCTTCTTCCTCTACTTCTTCTTCTTCTTCTTCTTTCTCCACCTCCTCTTGTATAGCCACCATCTTCTCCTCCTGCTCCTTCAGCTCCTCCTCCATCTGCCTCTTCTTTGCCTCTTGTCCTCCAGCAGGGCCAGCATCTTGGCCTGCTTGATCAACTCCCTCTTCTCCATTCTTTCCTTCTTCTCTCGCAGAATGGCGGCAACTTTCTCCTCCTGCTCCTTGCTGTAGGGGGTGGTGTTAGTTCCGGATCTGAGGGTCACCATGGTGATAGTGCACAATCAACAATGATTCGACACCTCAACACTTAGACCGTACGGGTTACTCCGGTTACGGGGACTTAACTCACTACTCGGACTGGACTCACGGCTCTATGACCACACACGCAAAGTCCTAGCGACCTGGACAGTAGTGACAGGGAGATATGACTGACTGCCCTTGACAGACTCAACGCCAGCAAGTACTGGGGTGAAGGTGCACATCCACGGGGTAAAGGGATAGGCCAGGGCTTGGAAAGATGGTACCGTGTATCTTCTCACTCCAATCAACGGTCTTGGTCAACTCGCAGATCAACGCTCCTGGTCCACGCCTTGATCAGCTTCGATCAATGCTCGGTCAACGCCCTTGGTCAACGTCTGGTCAACGCCTGGTAAACGCTCGTGGTCAACTCTCCGTCAACGTCCGGTCAACACTGCTCAACTCTCCTAGTCAACCCTTCAACCTCCCGACTATGGCTGATCTTCTTCCTCGTCAAAAACCTTTGTCTTCTTCACCTCGGCTATGGCTGACTTCGTCTCCCTTCTTTGTCACTTTCTTCTTCCTTTTCTCTGCGTCTCTCTTCTTCTCGCTGGTCGTCTCTTGCCCCAAGCTTGACAGCTATGGCTGTCGCCCCCCCTTCTCTCTCTCTCTCTCTCTCTCTCTCTCTCTCTCTCTCTCTCTCTCTCTCTC